TGTCCTCTTATTTCTTTTTTTTTTTTTACTTTATTTTAAAGGATTTTTCAAGTTAAAACACAAAACAAACAACAAACAATGGCTCGGACTACACGCACTCAAAAAAAAAAAAAAAAAAAAAAAAAAACATTAGTACATTAGTAAAAGGCTGCAGATCAGACTAGGTGCCCAGAGGGAATACGCAGCCTAAACCTTAGAGGAGTCACTGGAGGCCGATTGAGTTGTTAACTTGTCCAAGTGTCCCAGAAATGAATCCCAAGCAGCGGAAAACTTTTCCATAGAATCAGACCTCAAATGTCAAAGCCTTTCCATCTGTATGACAGAGACCATGTCCGTAATCCACATTCGGAAGGAAGGGGGCGAGGGTGACTTCCAATTTTTAAGCACTAGTTTCTTAGCCACGACCATACCTAGCATTAAAGACTGTTGTAACGCGCCTGAAAGGCGAGAAGCTGTCCTCTTATTTCTGAAAAATGTTTTCATTTGTAGGTAAATGTGGTACCACTCACCATTCAGCTCATGTACCAGTTCTTCAAGAGGATGATGGGGTTTTTCTTCCCTGGAAGAAATGTGGAAGAAGAGGAAGTTGGGGATGAGGAAGACAAATTCAGACTGGTTACCACAGGTTAGTGAACTTTTCTTTCTTGACAAGAACTGGAGAGAGAAAAACAGATCCTCTTGGAAAGCTGCATTTAAGTATCAGTTCTACTAGTGAACTGATGCACTCTTTTTCTTTACATTCCTGTTTTAACCACTCTCTGCACTCACTGCACTGACATCAATAGCTTGCCCCATGCTGATCAATATCAGTTGACATCCATTTCTCTTTTTTCCCCCCTCCGTACTCCTGTGAGGGTATTAGATTGCTGTCAGCTGATGTTATGCCACAATGATGGCCCATTCTTGGCTATTAAAAGCTCATTGCTCCTTTGACATTGAAGTGTTTTGTATCTGATATTGCTTCGGGGTGACTTTCGTGCACATTGTGGAGTTGTGGAGGGGCTGATCACACACAGAACATGAGTTTTCCATTCTACTACACTTCTTTCAATGTAAAAACCCGCAGCTAGACAGATATGTTTGAGTCTCACATGTGACATGGCGTTCTAAAAGCGTTGAGCTCTAGTTAAAAACAAATAAACTAGACCTTGCGTTTTTTTTTTTTTGTTACACTGATCTATGTCCTTGTGCAAAACGTGTTTTGTGCGAAACGGCCCTAAGTCTTATTGTCTTCTTGAATCACAGGTGTCGTGAAACCCAGGCAGCTCTCTGAAGACTCCATAGGAGGGCTTGGACCCGGAAAAGGGGTCACGCAAGGGTTAAATCGAACCGCTGGAGTCAGGAGGTCTTTTCGCAAAGCACCTGAGGTATTTTTATTTTAAAGAGATGTCAAGTTGAACGATATTTAAGTTATCTAACCTCTAAATTTCTCCCCCATTCAGCATCCTGTTGATGACATTGATAAGATGAAAGAGAGAGCAGCCATGAATAATTCTTTCATCTACATCAAGATTCCCCAGGTTCCCCTCTGCGTTAGTTACAAGGTTGGTCCCGGCTATTGTTATAATGTTTTTAAAAGACTTCTCTTAAAGGGATAGTTCACCCAAAAACAGGCCGTGTGTCCACCAAAGCGTTTTAGCCAGCTGAAAACGCTAGACGCTCTACTGAAGACGCCGTGCTTTGGGCGCTTGAGAGCGTTTTGGCAGCGCAGCGTTTTTTCCGTTGAGACGTTTCGTTGCTATGATACAGAATATCCGCAGCAGTTTGAATATTGACAGTTGGTCGGTGTGGTATTAGTCCCGCCCCTCCTCCATTGTAATTGAACGGCTGGGTAAAAAGTGACAGTGATGAGCGCTGCGTTTTATCCAAAGTTGAACGTTTTTCAACTCCCAGCGACCAGTAAAAACGCCGGGCGCTTCAGCGTGAAAAAAACGCTCAGCGCCTCGTCACGCTCATGGCGTTTAAAAAACGCGGCGCTTCCATTGAAAACAATTGAAAACATACGCCAGGCGCGTGGAAAAATGTTTTGGTGGACACACGGCCTAAAGGGTAAGCCTAGCCTAGCAAGCATAGCCTGACTCCACCCACTGGCAATATTTGAAAAATGTTGAAAAAGTGGGCAGACCCCAGCGGAGATCGAGGGGACGAAATAGATGCGAAAACACTCTATCCTGATTGTTTTCAATACTCGCAATTCCAACCCCTGACTCGCTACAGTGGTTTGGACAAAACAAGCTGGTTTTTATACTGCCAAGGGTGTAGCTCGTACCAAGAGCGTGGTGAGCTGAAATATCACGAAGAACCGCTAACATCCAATAGGAAAATTCAACTGCAGTAGCCACCGTTCAACCTGAAGAGGGCAGCACTAAGACTTTTTACACTCTATATTGTAGAAATAAAACACTTTATACACAAATGTCAAAAAAGTTACTCGAATCAATGACTGGTATTAATAAAGATTCATTCTTACAGATCATTAACTACAAAAAGTTGGTTAAGGGTTTAGTTGCTCTTTAATTACTCACCCTCATGTCGTTCCAAATGCGTAAGACTTTCGTTCGTCTTTGGAACGCAAATGAAGATATTTTTAATGAAAAAGTTCATAAAGAGATTGTAAAACTAATCCATATAAATTGAGTGGTTGAGTACAATTTATTTTTTCGCTTTACATAATGAACAGATTGAATTTAGTGCATTATTTGTTTGCTTTTTCTTTCAAAAGGTTTTGCGAGCGAACGCAAAGTTTCTCGGGTGAACGCAAATGTTTGCAAACCGTTGAAACCAATAGCATTGACTAATTTTTTTCTCGAAAATTCAAAGGAACAGCATTGCAAATATATGACGAGTTCAGATGCAAAAGCCTCTAAATGCCATTTGAAATTTTCTTTTTTAATGATGATTTTTATCAAACTTGTATATTTAAGTTCAGTAATTTCACTTAAATAATAATTAAAGGTAATTATCATTGCCATTTAAGTGAAATCACTGAACTTAAATATACAAGCTTGATAAAAATGATCATTCTAGAAGAAAATTTCAAATGGCACTTAGAGGCTTTTGCATCTGAACTCTTCATATATTGTTAGTATTCAATTCATATTCCCTAGTGTGACTATGCGTTTCTCTTGTGGTGTATCTATAGGGAGAGAAGAGCAGTGTAGACTGGAAGGATCTGAACCTGGTTCTGCCCTGTTTGGAGTATCATAACAACACCTGGACCTGGCTGGACTTCGCGATGGCTGTGAAGAGAGACAGTCGTAAGGCTCTGGTCGCACAGGTAATCCCTCTCAAACACCTCGGCTCCAAACGCAACGTTTAAATACAGTAGTTGCAGTAGAGTTCAAATTCCGTTTTACTGCTGTCCCAAAATAAATAGATGATAAAGGAGAAGCTACGGTTAAAACCAGCCTCAGGCTCCGAGTCTCGAGGTAAAGCTGCAGATGGGAAATCGGACAGCAGCCTCCAGCAGCAGGTGGAGGACGAGAAGGCAAGACTTCTGATCGGCTTCAGCTCCGCCGACAGGAGCTCCAGCAAAAAGAGCATCTTCAGTCGCCGCAAGTGAAGCTCCTCCACGTCTTGAAGAAGCGCTGCTGTACCTTACCGAGTCCCCGTCAGTGGGAAAGGGGTGGGAACTATGATAAACAAATCAAGTCCGAGCCCGAGGTTCCTCTCATCTTCACCAGTGGTGCCTTTAAACGTCCGCGCTGGGTGTGGACACGGAAACCAGCGCCATGGTCAAACCATGACTGCTGACAAAGAGAAGATGAGATAGTCATTCTACTGTCTAATATGAGTGCTGTACACCTAACGTTGTTTTTATGTGCTCCTGTTGTGCCATAAATCATTTCAATTACATACTATCTTTATTAAATAAGATAACGTCCTCGCAGCTCAAGACTGTGTCCCACAATTCAACGGTTTAGCTTTCCGTTATCTCTATTTTGTGTTTTGAGCATTGTAATGCCCCTCCTGCTGGATCAGGAGATACTTGTGTTTGTTGGGCAGAAAGAAAGAAAAGTCTGAAATTCACATATACTGGAAACCCATATTAGTCCGCTGTTGGTGAAATAGCCAAAAAATCAAGTATTTGTCCCCATTTAAGCTCAAGAGTGAATTGTACTTGACATTAGTTTGTTGACCACTGTTTTACTGTACTAACTACATAGTGCAATACAAAAGCGAATGGAATGAGGATCTTCTGCTTGTAGAGCAGTTGGGTTTTCGGATGTTATCGGAAGCATCTTGTTTTATGCCATTTTTGCAGCCTGTCGGATTAATACTTTGTAATTTTAACACTATTGCACTTTTTACACAAAGTATTTTCTGATATTTTTGTATCTGTGGATATCTTCTGTATCATTTTCAATATGTCTTCAGATGCTGCTGATTTTTGCTTGTCAGCTTCGAAAGTGAAATGATATTTCAGCTTGAATGTTTAAAAATGAGCACTATATTTAGATTTTCTCCCCACAACCCACTGTGTCAGGCAATGATTCTTGTATTGTTCTTTGTACAAATAATGGGAGGTATTAAATGTCACTGAGCATGTAAATTAATAAGTCAATAAAATAAAAGCAGCCCCCATGAGCTCTTCAAACTTATTTTAAACCATTCGTTTCTGTATTGTTAGTTAATAATTATTTAAAGCTTTGTAAAATGTATTGTATTAAGTAGCCAGTAATCTGTTTTAATAAGGATGCATTATTATAATGATTACGGTGTAAGGTATTAAGAAATAAAACTATTTTTAGAATACAGAGGTATACAGAAAAGCATAAGCATAATATGCCAGAATTAGATATAATTATTTTATCGTTCAGTACGTTATTAAAATACATAGATTTTCCTATGGGCATTAGACACCACTAGAAAAAAAAAAAGGTTACGTCCGATGTGAGTTGCGTAATCAATCGATTATGACGTTCCTGATGCATGATGGAGTGCATTGCTGTAACGTGATCATTGTTTATATGTTAATATTAATGAGTGGGCGGCGCTCCTAAATGTGAATCAAAGGTTTGGACACTGACTAATGCGCTTGTTAAAACAGCGTTATTTTGTGTGGAAAAGAAAAGAAGATGATATAAATAACTGGCATGGGGTTCACGTTTAATTTACGGACTTCTGAGGGAAAATAGGTTTGTTTTAAAGAAGGTCGCAAGTCGTTTATTTGTTTATAAAATGTGATGGGCGGCGACGGGAGTAAAAATAAGGTAAGAGTGTTTACTACTCTGATATTCACACACCTCACACATCAATGAATTATAAAACAATAGTTTGTATAAAATTTCAGTGTGTACACGGTAACATGAGTGTGATTTATATATTGATTGTGCTTTGCAGTTTCGTGGCTCTAAAATAGAGGCTAAAATATAGATTTCATGTGGAAAAAATGATATAAAGATTACATTGACACTTAGTATTCTAATGTGTTACTCAATTAAATGTGTTTACTGTTATGAGAATGATTTAAAAGAGCTAACACGACATTGATAATAATGATGACATACATTTGAAGGTACTTTATGGTATCGATTAGTTCCATTGAACCACACTGGATGATATTGATGACGTATAAAATAACTATGCACAAAATTAGTGTAAAATAACATTACACGGTGATTTACAGGTTATTAGTTATTTTTCAAAAATCTATTTAGAAACGTGGAAAATAATGAAAACATGTACTATAAACTGTCATTTGAATATATTGTCATACAATTTGGTCCAACACTTTATTTCACTGCAGATTCACATTCACTGCGATTTTGAAATGCCACAATTTTTTATATTTTGTTATATATCACTCATACATTTTAAATGTAGCCTGTCTTTTCGGGCCATTGTGAGCCTTATGTTATCATAAGTGTTTGTGATTTTGTACTGTTGTTTATCAGTGATGTTCTCTTCACTCCAGGCATCATCATCATCTTCATCACTGGTGAAGAGGAGATCCCTGTCATGTCATCAGGGCTTCCTGTCTCTCTCGGCTCCGCTTGTTCATCACAGCGCCCAGCACAGAGAATACCCCATCATCTCTGAGCAATCTCGGCCCTCAGACGCAAACCCTGAGGGGCCTTGTCTAGAGTGGACACTGCCAGGCTTTATTTCCATTTTCCTGCCAGAATTCCCGCACAGGTTTACTGGACACATGCATTTACAGGTAGTTATATGGCTCTAATCATAATATGTGATCCAAAATCTGAAAATCCAAACCCATCTTAGTTCTGTAGAACACAAAAAGAGACATTTTGAAGAATGAAAGTCCACAGATGAAACATTCATTCAGGTCTGGAACGACATACGGGTGATTAAATGATTACAATTTTAATTTTGTGTCAACTGACTCTTGTTTAGCATACTATAAAAATAGTAGCCTATTATTTCTGAAATAATTTACACTTTTAAAAGATAGACACTTAATTGTCGATTTAAGATTAAATAAAAATGTATCACACTTCAAATTTATAGGAAATGCAATTTGTTGAACTTGTGAGAGTGTTTTTTTTTTTTTGACAAACTTAAATTCTTATATTAAATCTTTATATTTAAATTTGTATTTACTTCTGTTGTCTTTGGAAATATGGTATAAGTGCACTGCCAAATGTACTGAAGAATATTTATGGTGAAATATTAGCGCTTTCGACTCAAATCGAATAATCGCATTATGTTTTTATGTTTATGTCAAAACATAATGTTTTTAAATGTACTTTAAAGTAAAACTTTTTATTTGTAGTGTTTTCAAAAAGTGTTTAGAAACATAGTCAAGAAAGTGTACTCTCCTTGTATTTCATTAATATTATACTATCTTCAAGTGCAGTTGTCAAAAATACATACTTTTAAGATTTGAAGTACAACACAAGTGCACACTCAATATAAATATGTGCTCTTCTTTTTCACATGGAGAACCTTTAAATACTGTGATTTTTTTTTCTTTTTGTTACTAATGATTCTCTTCGCAGATTCTTGGTTTTATAGCTAAAGGTTCGTTTGGTCCAATCCTGAAGGTGAAGGACCTGTCTAAAGATGAGACCTATGCTATTAAGGTAATTTTTTTTTCATGCCTTTTTCTAAATTCTCTATCATTCTATTTCATTTTTAAAAATGTTATGTGTTTGGTACGCCTTCTTCACCTCAGAATTTCTTGTCACTGTTGTTTAGGTTTTACCCAAGGCTGATGTTTTGAGACATGGAGTCCTCCAGCAGTCCAAAGAGGAGGTTATAATTCAAGTGAGTCACACTGCGCCGCTGCGCTCTGTGTCGGCTACGGCTCGCCTGATCTGGTTCTAACCGGGCCAGTGATACATGGATAACACTGACCTCCTCTATAGCCTATTAGCATGCACATATTTCATAATTCAATTGTTTTGTTCATTCCTTTACAGTATACTCTCATGTCCTCTCAGCGCCTGCACTCATGTCCATCTCATTTTGTGTTGTCAACTGTTACGTTGTAGCGACAAGTCAGGCATCCTTTCCTCCTCAGTCTCCGGGACTGTTGGCAGAGCCAGAGCAATCTTTTCATCAGTGAGTCACACCACATACAATATTTCATTTTTCATTCTGCTTTCTAAAGACTCTTCAGAAATCATGGCATTAATAGCAATCATTCAATTTGCTGAAAGGAAATTAAAGAGGCTCTGTGTAGAATTCAGAAAATTATTAGTGACACCGGTGGCTGTTAAGTGAACTGCAGCCAACAACTTAAAGAGACAGTTCACCCAAAAATGAAAATTAGTTACTTTGCCTTCATTTTGTTCCAAACCTGCAGTGTTGGGAAAGTTCACTTTCTACGTGAACTAGTTCGAAGTTCAGTTCACACATTTTAAAATGAACTAGTTCAGTTCATAGTTCATAATTCAAAAAATGAACTAGTTCATTCATAGTTCTTTTTTTCCAAATGTTGCTAGGTTGTTTTTATTTATTTTTTTATTGCCACAGCCCATATACAACTACAGACAGCAATTATTTTATCGACGGGCAAAGTTTGCACAGAAATGTAAGATTTTTCCCATCCTCACTGACCTCGTCATAAAATCTGTTTAAATTGTCATTTAATTATCATTTAATTATCTGTTTAAATTTTCACCAGCATCTGCAGCAATTCACCGACATCATGTCAACACGAGGTCATTAAAATGACAGATATAGTCTGATTATAACATAAATATCCGAGATAGACTAAAAGATCAGGCTATGAGACTATAGTTTGAATTAATGAATTTTCTTTGCATGACACAATGACATTACAGTGCAGAATGGCTCTTTCTGCATTTTCCTGAACATTGCATAAACATTCATTTCACGTGTCATTGATCGGAAGTGATGCTCTCGGGAGCGCATAAATGTCTCATCCTTTTAATTTTTCCCAGCAAAACATGCCAGAGGCCTTCACATAAAAATCTCTGTACAGGCTTTCATAGACAACCTAGGAAGTCTGGGAAGGTCTTGTTTTTTAAGTTTTGTTACTATCTGTTCTGTGGCAAAAAAAGAGCCATTAACACATGAAAATTCCTACATAAAGCCCCTTTAAGTATTTTATTTTAACACCGTCATCTTTTGCTTGTTCACTTAGGATTTTATGGATGCTATTCAAATACATTTTTTTTTATTTAAAATGTTTCTCTTCAGGTTTAACATCTATCTGTTCTCTAATATATGAGATGTCAAAAGTATAAAATACATATTCATATTTATCTTATTTAAAAAGCTAAGTAATTTAGCTAATTATTTACTACATAAGACATTTTTCAGAAATAAGAAAACAATTATTCATGAATATATATATATATATAATTAATTTATATTTATTTAACTACCTAATTCTGAAATATTTTCCAGATATATGTATACATATATTAGTAAAATATTTTATATGTAGAAAATAATTGGTTATGAATATGTCTTGAAAGATCTGCCCAAAGGTCTACATGATTGTATTTGATGTTGTCCTTTTTCCATGTGATTTATCGGTTTGGTTCGATGTATTTTTGCCCCATGTTCTTCTCTCCACGTCCGTTCACCATCCAGGGCAAGCCAGGAGACTTAATCATTGTGTTTTGTCTTCTTCCTTTCCAAAGTCTCGCTCCGTGACCCTGTGACAGACTGAAATTGTGTCACTGGCTTGTGATTATAAAAATACTGCTCCAGTTCATATCATGTTTGAATGAAGTCCCTTTAGATTGTGATCTATAATAGGTGGCCTCGAGGTCAGGCCACTCAGTCTACTTTGACATTGTCTTTCTAATCTCTTATGTTTTCTCTCACTTCTGTGTGTTTGTCTTCAGTGTGTGATTACTGCAGCACTGGAGACCTGTATACTTACTGGACACTGAAGGGCCGGTTTGATGAGAGAGATGTTCGCGTGTTTGCTGCTGAATTGGGCTCTGCCCTGGGTGAGTGTTGTTCGATGTTTAGTCTTGAGTATTTTCACATAGACAGGTGTTGTAGATTTGTATCAATGACAGTCAAAGTACTGTAATATGTTACCACACTTTTTTCCTCTCCAGGATTTTTGCATGACTTCGGAATAATACATAGGGATGTGAAGGTATTACAATATTGCACAGTACATTTTTATTTAGTTTGACTGCTATGTTTATGTATTCTGGTTTCTGACCAAAAGTTGAAAATCAAACATGAACAAGGAATATTAAAATGCATAGGTATGATCCCTCTGTGTTTAAAAATATAAATAAATATATTTAAAAAATGATTTAAGATGATAAAAGTTTGTATTCAGCCCTATAAAATGCTCTGAAAATTGTTTATTTTTTTCTTAAATAGATGGAGAACATCCTTCTGACTGATAAAGGTAAAGCTGATTCTGTGGGAAACGTCAGTGACAGCCATGCACCACCATATATAATATTTGTACATTTGTATTATATCACTGGTTATTAATAAACATTTTCTGTCAGATAGATAGATAGATAGATAGATAGATAGATAGATAGATAGATAGATAGATAGATTGATAGATAGATAGATAGATAGATAGATAGATAGATAGATAGATAGATAGATAGATAGATAGATAGATAGATAGATAGATAGATAGATAGATAGATAGATGACTCTTTTATCTTTTGGTAAAGGGAATTCTGGAATATAAATATTAACGCTGTCTCATTTAGGTCACGTCCGCTTGACTGATTTTGGGCTGTCTCGCCGCCTTGAGCGTGGGGATAGAGCATTTACTATCTGTGGCACAATACAGTACATGGGTGAGGCTGGAATCTGAACTCGTTTCAAACAGGATAGGATTTCTCTAGTAAGACTGTGTTTACCATCAAGTATATCTGGCAGTAACTAAAGACATGTATAGCTCGAAGCAACTGAGCTATTTCTCTAAAAATGGATATTTAATTACATTATCCGGTCATTAAACAGCTCCTGAAGTCCTGAGCGGGGGCCCGTACGGCCATGCTGCAGACTGGTGGTCTCTTGGTATTCTTATCTACGCTTTAGCCACTGGAGGGGTAAGACATATCCAGAGGCCATATTACAAGATGAGCATTATTCTTGATGAATGTGACACAAAATCACATCTGGAGAAATGTGCAGATCTCAGTGATGATGTTTAGAAAGTGCTACAGGCTGCTTATTAAAACCGTCTGAGCCTTTTCTTTATTATTTTGATTTTTTTAGTTTCCTTTGCCTGCGGAAGCAGACCACTGTAGTATGATGAACAGGGTCAGTGAGCATCCATACGACATGCCTGAAAACCTCAGTCCAGCTCTGGCCTTTCTGCTCATAGAGGTGACATCAGTATATGTTGCATTGCTATTTTTGCATTATGTAGTAGATTTATATATATATATATATATAGATAGATATATATATATAGATATATATATATATAGTATGTTTAAAAGAACACTCCACCGTTTTTTTTTTTTTAAATAGGGCTTATTATTCAAGTCACCCTCTTGGTCTCGCAAAAAATCCCCCATGTCAATCACCATTCATGTCTACTGTCGTAAAAATAGCCAGCTAATATTCACGCCGGTATGTTGACGGAAGTTGGGGTATTTCAGGTGTTGCGTGATTTGACTGTGCCCAAGCAGCAGTGCTTCGCCTGTGATTCACCCTAATATAGTCCCAAGTCAATATCTGCCGATTTATTCGTCTAGTCTTAATTTGAAATCATATTTATACTCGTTGTGAATACACAGGCCACAAGAAGTAATTTTTATTGTTTTTTTTTTTTTAATCACTTCAACTCATGACATGCTACTTGGCAACATAGGATTCCATTCATTATGCTAAGCTAAGCTAGCGTCGGCGCTGCCAAACTAAGGCAATGCGTGCACTTTGAAAAAAATGCTTTTTCCAAAAAATGCTTTTTCCATAAGCCCTACGTATTTCAAAAAACGGTGGAGTGTTCGTTTAAAATATATAAATAAATGTAAAAATACATTTGTATTGACACTGTATTTTTTACACTTAAAAATACAGCATTTATATGAATTTCTTTGAATTTTAATTCTACACTGTAAAAAATATTGTTGGTTTAAGTAAGAAACTTGGTTGCCTTAAAATTTAAGTTCATTGAAATGGAAAAAGTGATTTAATACAATGAAGGAGATTGATTTAATCATCAGAAACTCAAAATTATATGTTATCTGAACTAAATAAATTATTTAAGTTGATTTGACAAAAGAAAAAAAGATTTTTTACAGTGACTTCCTTCAAATTTAAATGACAATTCTGTTTGCTACTTCAAATCAAATTCAGGAATTGAATTGTAAAATTCAGGGATTTTCAGTTCTGAATGGAGCACAGCCCTGTTGTTTACGCACATACTCAAACCTAAAACACGCTGTGACTTTGTCCAAATGTAGCTTCTCTGCAAGTTCCCCACGCGTCGCTTACGGTGCCTGGAGCACTTCCAAGGCCAGAAGTTTTTCCACGGCATGTCCTTTGATTCCCAGCTGCTGCAGAAACGTCCCGTCAAGCCAATCCTCGAGCTGAAGAATCATCCTGACCGATCGGAAAGGTCCATGCGAGGTTTATCGTCAGATCTGCTTAAGAATTTTGAGTGTGACCTGCTGAACTCTCCATCGACCCCTGTGGATTTGTCCTTGATGAAGTTTGAGGTGAATGAAGACACAGCTGGGACTGAAACACAAGCAACAGAAACCAGTTCACCGTGAAAACAGAAATTTCTCTGTGACATGCAACGTTTTGCCAAAGACAAGATAAAATGTCAGTATTTTTTGATAATTCACCTAGATGAGACAAGCCATTCATTAACAAGTCTTACTACTGAGTTGTTTAAGTATATATAATAATTAGATTTCTTTTTTTTTCAGAATTTGCAGAAAGTTTATTAGACTTTTGACCTCACTTTTACCTTTTTTTGCCTTGGAGTATTTTTATAATGATAGAACTGTAGGGTTTTTTCTTAATTTTTTATACCGGTTACAGTGGATAAACTAACCCATGCTTGCACATAATTATACTGTGATACTAATACTAAGTAACTTTTTAGACACAATATTGCCAGTTACTTTTTCTGCAAATAATAGTTCTGTAGCATAGAAGTAAAATTACGTGCAATATACACAGGTTATGTATGTACAATAAAAAAATCGTATATGGAATGCACAATATGTGAAATGTACAGTATTGCAAGTAGAATAGCATAGCTGTACAATGGAATGAACGGACCAATACAATACTATAATACAGTAAATTTCAGTACAATTTAGTATTAGTGCAAAAAAAATAGCTGATTGATAGTAAACTAAAGAAATTTTGATTCACTGGCAGTTGGCTTCGATTGTATAAATGAGTTTACTCAGTCAAGATCATTCTCAACAAAATCCCCAAAATAGAATTTGTTCATCAATTGACGTGGAGAATGAAAGTAGAACTTCATATCATTATAATTCAAAAGATAGAATGGTAAATGATATATCGGCGAATAATACCTGGAGACATTCCTCCAACTTTGAGACTTTGGTGTGACCTATTTGTGAGCGCAATGACAAACCCAAATGGGAGCAGCCTTAATAGGGCTGAAAATTGAACACCAGATAAAGCATCATTATTAATGTTTTTAATTAGGTATCAGGGAAAAAAAATCACAGCCCCAGAGGTGGCTTAAAATATCCGTAACTCTTAACAGTTCTCCTGAGAGTCTACTTCAGATGTGTTCGGTCCTTTATTGGGTATCCCTCTAAACCTGCCATTTTTATCTACATTATCTTATTGCTTTCGTGTGGATTGAACGACACGGTCCTAAAATCGTCTGTCTTTATTATGCATATTATAAATTGAATAAATTAGACACTTTTCGATCCAAAAGCACCACATCATTTCAAAACAAATCAATGTGTTGGTAAACTGAATCTCCAAACTTTGACTCCATTTTTTTGTCCTTGAAAAACTAGATCATGAAGTCATCTAAAAATTCTGCTCACCTGTGTAGAACTTGAAATGATGCCATGACCCCACCTCATTTTTTTTATCACACATATATGCTTGAATCTCAGCCGCTCGGTGACTGCCAACATTTACCTAAGGGTATGATGCGAGTCTCATCTGACTTGATTCGGGGATTTGATCTAATTATATTATTGACAGGAATACAGACCCTCTTTTGTTGCCTGGAAGACCCTTGTGATCACAGGTTACAATGTGACTTACAATAGGGATCAGACTCAATTTTCACCTGGCATATGATAAAACGGGCAAAAAAAATCCACTGAAGAAAGGATCCGAGCCTCATCTGGGCTCTTTTGAGTATGTAGCTACCCAGAACAACCTAGCAACATCCCAGGACAGCTTAGCAACACCCTGGCAACAACCCACACTACCCTAGCAACTTTTGCACCATTTAAAAAATCTAGATTGCATTACATTTTGTGTAAAATAATGAGAATTCATGCTGCTAGAGAAATGGGATCGGGTGGGCAACCTTTGGTGGCCTTTAACACCTCCTCCAATAACTTAATGAGGGCATGACGTTAAGCTCCGCCCTACAAGTGTCAGCATCCTCTGGGATATCACCTTCATAAAGAATTGGGACACAGCCACTGTTAAAGAATCAGTCACATCTCATCTCGTCTGTTGGAAAAAGCCCTTCTGGTCTGAGTTCTTCGGTCTGCTCTGACTTGGTAAGTATCGCTGTCGTTCCATCTGTTGAATTTACTGCCTTGAACTTGCCATTTTCGAAAATGCTTCTTAAATCTTCAAGAATATGTTTATTGGATAAGGATTTTTTAAAATCATTTTCTAGAGATTGAACTTACAGAAACCAATTTCTAACTGAAAACTTCTTCTTTCTAACTTATTTATTTTTCAATTTTAGGCCAGGAAATTTTTACAATTCTTACAATTCCCTGATATTTCCAGGTTTTCCAGTCTAAGAAAAGTCTAAAATTAGAGCGCATTGATTTTTCACTGGTTAACGTCTATGCAAATTTGCCATTGCACAAAAGGTTTGTTAAAGTGGAAAATGAGTCTTTAGATTATTAAAATGTTCTTCACACTAATAGAAAAATGTTTCTTTTAAGAAACTGAAGATTTCTATGGGGAACCAAAAATGATCCTTCTGTGGCATCATTACGAAAACTCTCTCTTGGAACCTTGTTTATTAAAGGAGCTGTATTCAAGAAATGTATTTCAATTAATCATAAGTTTTCCCTGATATGTCACTAGACATTAAGAAATCATGTTCATTTCAAATACTTATATCACTGACAACAGTAGTCCGGCCAGGATATTGTCATTTAAAAAGTGAAGTCGCAGCCCTCAACTGATGTTGATGTTGTGATGTTTTGTTTTGTTCTGATGCGTCACCCTCCACCGGTCTACCAATCACGTAGTCAGCAGTGTTACGGCATTCGGGTTGCCAGCTCTTTGTCTATTTACCCCAGCTGCAGATACAAACATGTCGGAATCGGATGAAAAAATTCTAACGTAGCGAAACCCCAAAAAACTCGATATGATTCCGAAATGCTTTGTTACAAGGTCCGAAATAAATAATTAACAGAAGCTTCTTGTTGCAGCCTACGTTCCTGCTGGAACCTGCAGCATATCTGGCAACCTCGAGTCATGGGGGAAGGCGGGGATATACCCTAATTTGAAAGTGATTGCAGTACCAGTTTTGGCCACAATCTTGCAAACAGCTCCTTTAAGTGTTAGATACATTTTGAATTATGCATTGTGTTGTGTTTTAAGTTTGAAGGAAATGTCCATAAACTTAACATTGAAGATAATGGTGATTAACGCATTATCTGCTTTCTACAAAAATGTTCTTGTGTATGTTAACCATATGAATCCAAGATGACTTCAGCAGGAAGGCAATATGGTGAAATCCCATTTTGGTTTTGTAGTGTTCATTTACTCTTTCTGTATCCTCAGGTTGTATCAGAAGGTTTAGGATGACCCATCAGTTTCCTCCCCTCACCACTGAGAAAAAGAAGGAGCTACATGAGATAGCTTTGCGTATAGTGTCACCAGGGAAAGGCATCCTAGCTGCAGACGAGTCCATTGGTTAGTGGGACTTACTCCAGTTATTCGACAGAAATTGCAGTGTCAAAGAAAACCACAAGAACTCACTTTGGTTTCGTTCTAACAGGCAGCATGGGGAAGCGTTTGAACCAGATAGGGGTAGAGAACAACGAGGAGAACCGCCGTCTCTTCCGTCAGGTGCTCTTTACCGCTGATGACCGCATTGATAACTGCATCGGTGGAGTGATCTTCTTCCACGAAACACTCTACCAGAACTCTGATGGTGGCATCCCGTTCGTTAAGATGATAAAGGACAAGGGCATCACTATTGGGATCAAGGTATGAAGTCTCACCTGGGTTTACTGGCATAGATTTGCTTTGACATGTTGAGCCTTGGTGTTTGAATCTGGCTTGCAACATTTTACAATCCCAAATTCGTTTTTGCTTTTCGTATTTATTTGTTCCGAAATGTTATTTTTAGAGGTACTACAGCGTGCCACTGCCACTTAGGCAGTGCCCTACCATATTTACCACTAAAAGATGGAAACCTTATTACTCTAGTCTAAGGTATGAATATGCCCCTTTTAGGGGTAGATGAGGTACACAGTTACTCCAGTAGTTCACCCAAAAATGAAAATTCTCCCATAATTTACTCACACTCAAGCCATCCAAGGTGTACATGACTTTCTTTTTTCAGTTGAACACAATCAGAGTTTTATTAAATAATATCCTGTCCGAGTTTTAGAAGCTCAGAAAAGCGCATTATTCATCCATCATAAAATTAATTCTTATGACTCCAGTGGGTTAATAAAGGCCTTCTGAAGAAGCGAAGAGATTGGTTTTTGTAAGAAAAATATCTATTTAAAACTTTAGAAAATATAATCACTGGTGTCCAGGAATGGCCGTACACGTGTTTACGAGAGATTTGAGTTCCTGCGGAAGGGTGACCTCTGACCTGAAGACTCAAGCACTTCTCTTCTTCAGAAGGCCTTTATGGGCTATATGCACACATAAGTTCCGCATTTGACGTAAGGATGCTCGTCCATTTCCGGTTGTGTAGATTAAGCGGAGGAAAACCGGAGAAAACGGGATTATGACAGAGTCTTCAATATTTACTGTCCTCCCGTCTTTGAAACGAAACGTACATACGTTTAGATGTAATTTTATATATAGTTATGTTTATTTAATATAATTTTAAAAAGAAGCATAAACACAATGAGGGGTGTCTGTTTCATCTGTTTTTGTGACTAACGTTTCATTAGTATAACCATGGAGTATAAAATTCTATATAAATTCTCGGTATTGCATTGGACTCTATGATCGGCGGAAGTTATCGAGCATCCTTAATCCTTCACCGGAAATAACGCCGTGCATAGAGCCCATTAACCCAATGGAGTCCTATGGATTACTTTTATGATGGAAGGATACACTTTTCTGAGCTTCAAAAACTCAGGCACTATTCAATGGCATATACAGGCACTAAAAACTCTATAATGGCACTATTCATTGCCATTATAAAGCTGGGAATAGCCAGGATATTACTTCATATAACTCTGATTGTGTTCGTCTGAATGAAGAAAGTCTTATACACCTAGGACGGCTTGAGGGTGAGTAAATTATGGGATGATTTTACATGTTTGGGTGAACGATTCCTTTAAAGGTACTGCCCCAGTGATAATCTGTTGTGCTTCTAAAGATATCTTTTTTTTCTGGCAGTGCATTTAAGCCAATCTTTTGCCCTTTCTTCACAGGTCGATAAAGGTGTAGTCCCCTTGCCAGGGACTAATGGAGAGACCACTACACAAGGTCATTTAAAAAATATCTCTTCTCTGGATCCAAATATATCTGTTCATTCAATTTTCTTTTTTTTCTTTTCTTTTTCTTTTTTTTTTTTTTTTTTTTTTTTTTTTTTTTTTGTTGAAGTGCTGGTTTCTTGAAAATTTAACTGTGTGACAAATTGACCTGCAAATGTCATGGTT